TTCGTCGGCCCCGGCTGCCCTATTAGTGGGGGCTGCTGGGGTCCGCTGGGGGCCCCCGCGGCACGGGGCGCCCCCCTGCTTTTGCCGTTTTGCGGACGATGGCGGCCCAGGCTCGACGCAAACTGAGGCTGCACTATGTTTTGGCTTCCTCGCACTCATGGAGCCTGGCTTCGCCTATGCTGCTAATCCTGCTAATCCTCCTCCTCCTCCTCCTCCTACTCCTACTCCTCCTCCTCCTCCTCCTCCTCCTCCTCCTCCTCCTCCTCCTCCTCCTCCGTCCCCTCAATCCTCGCCCCTCCTACCTCCTCATCCTCCTCCCCTCCTATCTCGCTCCCTCTCACTTATCCTCCTCCTCCATCGTCCTCCTCCTCCACGTCCTCCTCCTCCTCGTCATCCTCCATCCATCACCTCCTCCTTTTCCTCTCTCCTCGTCTTCCTCCTCCCCCTGATCCTCCCTCATCCCTCCTCCTCCTCCTCCTCCTCCTCCTCCTCCTCCTCCACATCTTGAACCATACTCTTCGAGTAGCGGCAGGAGGATTGGGTAGCAGTGGCGGCGGCTGCGATTGAGGTCATTGAGTCCACGATACCTTCCTGGAGGTTGGCGGTTCGCGGCCTCGCTCGAGCACGTGCGGTTCCACAGCATGATTGGTGACGTCCGTCGTCCCGAAGGCGGAGTGTGGTAGTGCCGCGCCGTGCCATGGTGCCATGCCATCACGTCGTGCCGTGGTGCCGTGGTGCCGTGCCGTCACGCGCGGGGAATGGCGGTGCCGCGCCGTGCCGTGGTGCCGCGCCGTCACGCAGTGCCGGTGGTGCCGTGCCGTCACACAGTGCCGTCGCGCCGTGCCGTTTTGCCGTGCCGTTTGCCGTGCCGTTGAGTGCAGGTTGGTTGTGCGCTGGCCTGCGGTCCGCCTGGTTGAGGAGGGGTGTAAATACCATCCAGGCACCCTGGTCAGGGTGGTGGTCGAGCTCCGCTTGGCAGCCGACGGGGTCGGTCCCCCGCCCGCCCGCCCGGGGGTGGGGGGATGTTGGGGTTGTGAGCTGGATGGGCGGTGTCTTCGGGAGACTCTCGTCCCCACAGGGCCCGCATGTGCCATCAGAGGGCGCGCAGCCACGCCCCAGAGCCACGGGGGGCCAATCCTCCTCCTCCTCCTCCTCCTCCTCCTCCTCCTCCTCCTCCTCCTCGACCTCCTCCGCCTCCTCCTCGTCCTCCTCCTCCTCCTCTTCCTCCTCCTCATCCTCATCCGTATCCCTCCTCCGACTCCTTCAGCCCTCCTCCTCCTCCTCCTCCTCCTCCCCCTCCTCCTCCTCCTCCTCCGCCTCCCTCCGCCTCCCCACTGGCCCTCCCTCCCCCTCCTCAACCTCCACCATCGTCCTCCTTCTTCCCCCCTCGCCTTACAATCCTCAATCCTGAATCCTGAATCCTCGTCCGCCCTCGTCCTCCTTCTTCCCCCCTCGTTTTCAATCCTCACTGGTGCGCTTTTCCCTCGGCGCTGCCTGCTTTCCCCTGTTGGCATTTAGTCCCACGGTTGCGCTGCTCAGGAATGGGAAAAGGGCGCCCAACAGCAGCTGTCGACTGCTGTTGGTCGATGCACAAATAAAACCAAGAAGCAGCGACACGTAAACTCCCTCCTCCTGTTCCTCCACGTATTCCTCCCCCCATGCTCCTCTTCCTACTGGTCCTCCTCCTCCTCCTCTTCCTCCTCCTCTTCCTCCTCCTCACTTCCGTCACCTCCTACCTCCCACCTACCACCGACCTCCTCCCTCCCTGCTCCCCTCCTCCTTCCTCCTCGCTCCTCTCCATCACCTGTCCCTCCCTCCTCCTCCTTCCTCCCTCCTCCCCTCCTCCTCCTCCTCCTCCTCATCATCATCATCATCATCATCATCATCATCATCTCATCATCATCAATCAAAACATCATCATCACATCATCATCATCATAATCATCATCATCATCATCATCATCATCACATCATCATCATCCGAAAATCCTCCTCTCGTCCTCCCCTCCGCCTCCCTCCTCCTCCCCCTCCCCTCCTCTTCCTCCTCCTCCTCCTCCTCGTCCCTCTTCTCCCAGCTTCTCACCACCACCCTCTCCCACGCCCTCACAGCCATACCTGCTCCCCCACCTCCACCCTCACTTCGTTCTCCTCTTCCTCACACCTCATCATCTGCTTCCATCCTCCTCCACTCCTCCTCCTCTCTTCTCCTCGCTCCTCCCACCTTCCTACCTCCTCCTCCCCCCTCCTCCCCCTCCACTCCTTCTCCTCCTCTTTTCTCCTCCTCCTCCTTCCCCCCCCCCTCCTCCTCCTCCTCCGCCTCCTCACCACCACCACCACCACCACCACCACCACCATCACCACGACCGTCGTCTTCGTCGTCGTAGTCGTCGTCGTTGTCGTCGTCGTTGTCGGAGTCGTCGTCGGAGTCGTCATCGTCGTCGTCACCGCCGCCGTCGTCGTCGTCGTCAACGTCGTCGTCAACGCCGTCAACATCGCCACCACCACCACCACCAGCATCATCATCATCATCATCATCATCATCATCATCAGCAGCAGCATCATCATCATCATCAGCATCATCATCATCATCATCACATCAGCACATCATCAACATCATCATCACCACCACCATCCACCCACCACCAACCATCATCATCATCATCATCAGCAACATCATCACATCATCAACATCACAGCAATCATCAACATCATCATCATCATCATCATCATCATCATCATCATCATCATCAGCAGCAGCAGCAGCAGCATCATCATCATCATCACCACCACCACCACCACCACCACCACCATCATCATCATCATCATCATCATCATAATTATCATCATCGTCACCATCATCATCAGAATCATCTTGGTCATCACCGTATGAGCTACAGCATCGACATCAGCACCAGCATCATCAGCATCACCATTATCAACAACAACATCACCAGCATCCACGTCACCGACATCGTCATCGATATCGTAATACTAATCAGCATCACCACCACCACCATCATCATCATCAACTCAATCATCATCCCAGCATCATCATCATCATCATTATCATCATCAGCATCATCAGCATCATCAGCATCATCAGCATCATCATCATCATCATCATCATCAGCATCATCAGCGACATCATCAGCAACAGCATCATCGTCATCATCACAGTCTACATCGCAATCGCCATCACCAGCATCACCGTCAACATCAACATCGTCATCTCATCATCGTCAGCATCGTCATCGTCCACCTCATCATCATCAGCATCACCGACACCATCACCATCATCATCATCATCATCATCATCGTCATCATCATCATCAGAAGCAGCATCATCATCATCACCATCACCAGCACCATCAGCAGCAGCACCACCATCATCTCGCCATCACCAACACGTTCATCATCCTCATCATCAGCATCACCTAAACCCTCACCATCAGCGTCATCATCATCAGAAGCAGCATCAACATCACCATTATCACCTCACCATCATCACCATCAGCACCATTATCGTGCACATCATCATCATCATCATCATCATCATCATCATCATCATCAACAGCATCATCATCACAATCACCATCGCCATCAATGTCACCATCATCATCAGCATCACCACCATCATCATCATCCAATCACCACCATCTCATCTTCATCGGTCGGCATCAACATCATCAGCAGCATCACCACCATCACCAGCATCATCATCGTCATCGTCTCATCTCATCGTCATCATCATCATCATCAGCACCATCACCATCATCACCGTCACCATCACCATCATCATCATCATCCCATCGTCACCATCATCTCATCATCAACATCGTCAACAGCAGCACCATCATCATCCTCATCCTCATCCTCATCCTCATCATCATCATCATCATCAGCATCGTCATCACCGTCACAATCACCATCACTGACACCATCCTCATGATCGCAGCCATCAGGATCATCATCATCATCAGCATCATCATCATCAGCATCATCATCTCATCATCATCAACAGCATCACCATCCTCATCATCATCACCGTCACTATCAACATCAACATCATCATCATAACCATCAACATCATCATCTCACCATCATCATCAACATCATCATCCTCATCCTCATCACCATTGCCATCTCCATCATGATTGTCATCAGCATCACCATCACAATCATCATCTCTTCAGCATCAACAACATCATCATCATCCTCACTATCGTCATCATCACCATCACCATCATAATTACCATCATCATTATCATCATCATCATCATCATCATCATCATCATCATCATCATCTCATCACCATCATCATCACCGTCACCATCACTATGACCATCATCATCATGATCACCATCACCATCACCATCAGCATCATCATCATCTCATCATCAACATTACCGTCATCATCACCCTCATCATCATCACCGTCATACTCATCATCATCATCATCAGCATTAGCATCATCATCATCATCATCATCATAATCATCATCATCATCATCATCATCATCATCATCATCATCATCATCATCATCATCATCATCATCATCATCATCATTATACGCATCATCATCATGATCATCACCATCAACATCATCAACATCATCATCCTCCTTTCCATCATCACCGTCACAACCATCATCAACATCCAATCATCATCATCATCATCATCATCATCATCATCAGAATCATCACCACCATCCCATCATCGTCATCATCTACATCATCACTATCATAATCGGAATCATCGCAATCATCGTAATCATCCTCATCATCCTCATCATCCTCATCATCCTCATCGATATCATCATGATCATCATCATCCTCATCATCCTCATCATCCTCATCGATATCATCATGATCATCATCATCATCGTCATCATCATCATCGTCATCATCATCATCGTCGTCATCATCATCATCATCATCATCATCATCATCATCATCATTTCTTCCTGCCTCCCCGTTGTTGGCCCTGGCGCACCGCCGGGCCCCCCGCGCCAGCCGGGCCCTGGCCCGCATTCCTCCAGGTACGGTCGCCGCCGCCGCCGCCTGCGCGACGACGCGGCCGCGGCGAGCGGCGACGAAGGCTATGGCGACGGCGGCGGCTGCCGCGGCGACGTCGACATCGACGACGGCGACGACGGCGGCGACGACGTCGACGAATGACGACGACGACAACGACGGCGGCGGCGACGACGGCGGCGGCCGCGGCGACGTCGACGACGGCGGCACCGACGTCGACGAATGTCGACGACGACGACGACGACGACGACGACGACGACGGCGACGACGACGACAACGACGGCGGCGACGACGACGACGGCGGCGGCGGGCGACGAACGGCGACGGCGACTACGGCGAGGAGAAGAAGAATAATGAAAGCATAGTGAGAGAGAATGAGGGACATATAGAGTGAGGGAGGGAGAGAGAGAGAGAGAGAGAGAGAAAAAAAAAAAAAACTAAAAATGTCTCATCCCTGCACCCTGGTAGCCGATGGCCCTAAGCCCTCAGCAGAAGGCATCGCGGGCGGTGCCCGAGGTCCCACCCGCCCGTCCCGGGAGGGTGCACGCGGGGCCACTCGTGGCGGGCCGCCGTCGTGGCCGACGTTGGTCGCGCCGCGGTCGAGGGCCGTCGTCGTCGTCCGCCATCGTCACCGCAGTCCGCCGCCTGCCGCCGCCCTCGCCGCCGCAGCCCCGCCGGCGTCGCCGCCGCCGCCGCCTGCCGCCGTTAACCCCGACGCCGCCCCCGAGAGAGAGGCCTGGCCGCCCCCCCCCCCCAGCCGGCCGGTCGCATGCCTCCGCGCTCGGGTGGCGCGAACCCGGCGGAGCCGCCGCCCCAAGCGCCGCCTCGGCCCTTGCAGGTGCGGGGGGGGAGGAGGGGGGAGGAGGAGGAGGAGGATGAGGTTGAGGATGAGGAGGAGGAGGAGGAGGAGGAGGAGGAGGAGGAGGAGGAGGAGGACGAGGACGAGGAGGAGGAGGACGAGGAGGAGGAGAAAGAGGAGCGAGGATGAGGAGGAGGAGGACCAGTGTAAACCCAAGAGTCATCAACGATGTTGAAGTGAACCCTCACTCCAAGCTGCTGCTGCAGGGAGCTCGGAACCCTCGCCCTGCGCCTTCCGCTCCTTCCGTGGGTGCCACCAGCGAGGCCGCAGTGGCGGCCACCGTCGAGGCCGCCGCGGCAGCTGGCCGCCGCGTCGCATCGCGGCGGCACCTTCTGCGCAGAGGGCGCGGAAGGTGCAGGTCGAGGGAACCCAGACATGCGACGTCCTGATTTTTCCCAGGTGCGACGCCCCTGGCAATCCCGACCCTCACCCCGGGACCGGTGTTTCATCCCGAGCCGCTTTTTGACGGTCCCGAGGCCCGGGGAGGGCCCCTCGAAGTCCCGACCCTTGCCCTGGGACCAGTTTTTCATTCTGAGTCGTCCTTCGACGGTCCCGGGGCCCGGCGAGGGCTCCCAGGGGCCGAATAACGGCCAAAAGCCTCTCTCGTTCAGATTTTGTTTTACGTCAGCTCCTCCTCCTCCTCCTCCTCGACACCAAGTGGCGGCATACATGCCGCGTGGCGCACGCTCGCGCGCGACCTGGAGCGAGGAGGGGGAGGTGAGAGTCTGACATCGCTTCACCTTCGTGAACCCGAGTGTTACGACGCGAGCATGTCCTGCGGGAGCGCAGCTCCCCGAGCCCTGACTTCTGCTGCGACGCGGTCGTGCCTGGGAAGGTGCAGGTCGAGGAAAAATGCGACGCCGCCTCCACCGGCGCGAGGGCCCGCGCGAGGGGGAGGGGTCCTCCCGGCAGCGGTGGGCCCGTCCTCGCCGCTGCAGGCAGCATCCCCTGCGCTCGGCTCGGGGAGACATCGTTAGCCTCCTCGCTGGGGTGGCACCCCTGGTGGTCCCAGGCATGCTCGCGTCGTGCAAGATCACGACGGGAGATGATTCGCTATGTTCGGCCTCTGGGGATCCTCGCCAGGCCCTGGGACCGTAAAAAAACGACTCGGGAAGAAAAACCGTATCCCTGGAATGGGTCCGAGTACTTCTGGGGGACGACGTTCAATAAAATATTAAAACGCCGGGGGTCTGGGGTGAGGAAGTGGAGTTGTGTTGTAGTGTTGGTGGTGGTGTGGTGGTAGGTGTTGGTGGATGTGGTGTTGGTGTTGTGTGGTGTTGGTGGTGGTGGTTGTGGTGTTGTGGTGGTGTGTTGTTGGTTGTGGTGGTGGTGGTGGTGGGTGGTGTGGTTGGAGGGTGGTGGTGGGTGGGTGGGTGGTGGGTGGTTGGGTGGGTGGGTGGGGTGGTTGGGTGGAGTGGGTGGGTTGGTGGTGGGTGGAGTGGGTGGGTGGGTGGGTGTGGGTGGGTGGGTGGGTGGTTGGTTGGGTGGTGGGTGGGTGGGTGGGTGGGTGGGTGGGTGGGTGGTGGTGGTGGTGGTGGTGGCGGTGGTGTAGCTCTTCTCTCCTCCCTCCCCTCTATCCCGTTTGGTGACCATGTTTTTATCTATCCTTGGTAACAGTCGTTACCTGGGGGGAGGGGAGGGGGTTCGGGCGGGAGGGTAACGATAACGGCGGCCGCGGCGTGCACCCGCCAAGGTGCGTCTGCGCCGCCGGCGCATCAACCGCTCGTGTGCACCACAGCATGTAGGGGAGTGTCAAGCCACCCCCCCAGTACGATCATTGGCGTTACCCAGGGGGAGAGGGGGGGAAGGTTTGGCCCGGAGCGTTACCCTGTGGAGGGACAAATCATCGTCTTTCCTGTTAGTGTCTCCTCCTGGAGCCGTCCTGCCCGTCTCTTCGTCCTCCTCATTCTGAGCGGGGGGAGGGCAAGCGAGGAAGGGGCGGGAGTGGTCCCGAAATCAAGATCGCTCCAAGAGGGCCCCCAAAGGCACCGAAACGGCCCAGGACGGGCCCACGACGGCCCAGGAGGGCCCCAAGACGTTTCAGGAGGGTTCCCGAATGGAGCGCAAGAGGGCCCCAGAGAGCCCCTAAGATAGCCCGAGAGGGCTCCGAGACGGCCCCAAGAGACCCCGAGAGGGCCACGAGCGTGCCTGGTATGGCCCAAGAACGAGCAAGGGCAGCCCAAGATGGCCCCGAGTGGTCCAAGATAGTCCCAGAGAAGCCCCGCGAGCGCCCAACCCTGAGATCCTGGCGCCTCAATGTTTTCCAGCTGATCTGGCTCGAAAAAAGACGCAGCAAGATAGGGGTCCAGGGCTCTGGTGCGAGGCGGGATTTATCCGTATCCACCGCCTGGGAACCGACGTCCTGTGCCCTAGCGGGCGGTGGATATGGATATATTTCGGCCCCTGGGGGCCCGAATACGTCCACATCCACCGCCTGCCGAGGCTCCGAAACCTGACCCTCCAGGCGTGGTCATGGTATGAGTCCCACCAGCCCTTTAGGGCGTGAGTGGTTTAGAGAGGCCCCTCAGTCCTCAACCCCCCTGTGAAGCCAAAATCATTGATTGTACTACGGTTTTGGCCCCATTTTGGCCTCCTGAGGGGGCCGCGCTCATCTTCCTTCATAGCAAAATCATTGTTTGTACGAAGGTTTTGGGCTCATTTTGTCCTTCTCAAGGGGCAGCGCTCCTTTGCGCTTCAGAGGAGGTCGCAAGAGGCCCCAAGATGGCCCCAAGAGGCCCCCAGGAGCCTCCCAAGAAGCCTCCAAGAGGCCCCCAAGAGGCTCCCCCCCAAGAGCCCCCCCATAGCTCCAAGAGCACCCAAGAGACTCCACGAGCCCCCAAGAGGCCCCAGAGGCCCCAAGAGGCCCCCAAGAGGCCCCCAGAGGCCCCCAAGAGGCCCCAAGAGGCTCCAAGAGGCCCCCAAAGGCCCACGAGGAGCCCGAACGACTCACATAAAACCAGGACGAGTCCCGAACGACTCACACCACGAAGAGCCCGAACGACTCACACCAGAAGGAGGGGCCCGAACGACTCACACCAGGACGAGCCGCCCGAACGACTCACACCACGAGGAGCCCGAACGACTCACACCACGACGAGGGCCCCGAACGACTCACACCACGAGGAGCCCGAACGAGGCACACCAGGAGGAGGGGCCCGAACGACTCACACCAGGACGAGGGGCCCGAACAACTCACACCACGAAAGCCCGAACGACTCACACCAGGACGAAGAGCCCGAACGACTCACACCACGAAGAGCCCGCACGACTCACACCAGGAAGAAGGGCCCGAACGACTCACACCAGGACGAGAACCCCCAAACGACTCAAACCACGAGGAGCGCTTTCTCTCCCTCCTCCTCCGCCTCGTCCTTCTCCCGCTCCCACCACAAGGAGGATGTACAAGGAGGCGGGAGGAAGGAGGAACAGGGGAGATATGCGGGGGCAGGCGGAAACACTCCTGAAAAACACGACTGTCGGCATGCTTCGCAAGAGTTGCTGTTTTGAGATGGGCTGGTGGGGATACGCGAAGCGTAAAGAATT